GGCTACTTGGAAGGCTGAGGCGGAAGGATCGCCAGAACCCAGCAAGTTGAGGCTGCGGGGGCCAGGAGCAGCCACTGCCCTCCAGACTGGGTGACAGAGTGAGACTCCAACTCAAAAAAAAAAAAAAGAAAAGAAAGGGAATAATTAACAAAAATATAAAAATATTATATCAGCCAGGCTCAGTGGCTCAGCCTGTAATCCCAGCACTTTGGGAAGCCAAGGTGAGTGGATTACCTGAGTTTGTGGGTTCGAGACCAGCCCAGGCAACATGGCGAGAACTCGTCTCTACATAAATAAAAAAAAATAAGCCGGGCGCAGTAGTGCGTGCCTGTAGTTCTGTCTACTTGGAAGATTGAGGCAGAAGGATCACTAGAGCCCAGCAGCTTGACACTGTGGTGGTGGCCTTAAGTGTGCCACTGCCCTCTAGCCTGGGCAAAAGAGTAAGACTTGGACTCAAAAACAAAAACAAAAACAAAAAAACAAAACAAAAAAAACCCGGTGGCTACCTACTAGGAGGATTCAATAAGAAAAGGATTCAATCTGAAAACGCATCATTAAGAACAGAGAATAAGCCGGGCTCGGTGGCTCAGCCTATAATTCCGCGCCTTTGGGAGGCTGAAGTGAGTGGATTGCCTGAGCCTGTGGGTTCGAGACCCGCCTGGGCAACTTGGCGAGACCTCATCTCTACAATAAATCAAAAAAAAATCAGCCCGGTGCGGTAGCGCGCGCCTGTAATTCCGGCTCCTCGGAAGGCTGAGGCAGAAGGATCGCTGGAGCCCAGTGGGTCGAGGCTGCGGTGGCTGGGAGCGGCCACTGCACTCCAGCCTGGGTGACAGAGTGAAACTCCAACTCAAAAATAAAAGAACAGAGAATATTCTATTTCTTAACCTGGAAGCATACATGGGCACCCATTTAATTACTATCCTTTAACACACACATATTTGTTACACATGTTCTTATAACACATATACACAGCCATAATGTTTTATATACTACTCTGTATATGTGTTATGTTACATAGTTTAAAAATTAGGGAAGAGGTCGGGCTCGGTAGCTCAGCCTGTAATCCCAGCGCTTTGGGAGGCTGAGGTGAGTGGATTGCCTGAGCCTGCGGGTTCAAGACCTGCCCAGGCAACTTGGCGAGACCTCATCTCTACAATAAATCAAAAACTAGCTGGGCGTGGTAGTGCACGCCTGTAATTCCGGCTACTTGGAAGGCTGAGGCGGAAGGATTGCCGGAGCCCAGCGGGTCAAGGCTGTGGTGACCAAGAGCGTGCCACTGCACTCCAGTCTGAGCAATGGAGTGAGATGCCAATGCAAAAAAAAAAAAATTAGGGAAGCTGGGCGCAGTGGCTCATGCCTGTAATCCCAGCACTTTGGGAGGGCAGAGGCCAGAGGATTGCCTGAGCCCAGGAGTTTGAGACCAGGCTGGGCAACTTGGTGAGACCTCACCTCTACAATATATCAAAAAATTTGCCAGGCATGGTGGCGCGTACCTGTAGTTCCAGCTACTTGGAAGACTGAGGCGGAAAGATCGCCTGAGCCCAGCAGGTCGAGGTGAGCATGCCACTGCACTCTACCCTGGGCGACAGAGTGAGACTCCAACTCAAAAAATAAGAGAAAGAAATCTTCAATGCAAAAAGAAATGACCTACAAGCCACAAAAAGACACAGGAGAAACCTTAAATGCATATTTTTCAGTGAAGGAAACCAATCTGAAAAGGCTACCTACTGTTTGAATTCAACTATATGTCATTCTGGAAAAGGCAAAACTAGGGAGATGAGATAGTAACAAGGTCAGAGGTTGTCAGGGGCTTAGGGAAAGGGACGAAAGGATGAATAGCTGGTGTGCAGGGGATTATTAGGGCAGGAAAACTATTCTGTATGCTATAATCAATGGTGGATACATGTCATACATTTGTCAAAACACAAAGAATGTACAACACACAGTGGGAACCCTAATGTAAACTACGGACTTTATTTAAAGTATCAATATTGGCTCATCAACTGTAACAAGTATACACATTAATTCATGATATTAATAATAGGGAAAAGTGGGGGAGGTAGGAATGAGGGAGTATGTGAGAACACTGTATCTTTCACTCAATTTTTCTGTGAAAACCAAAACTGCTCTAAAAAATGAAGTCTATTAATTAAAACAAAACACATATAAACAAAACAGTATGATTAATATACTTTATTACATTTGTACCTATAATTGTGCTTGTGTAAATATGTACAAATAAGCTCCAGAAAGCTACTTAAGAAAGAAATGACAACACAACCTGTGAGAAGTGGAGGAGGAGAATTTAAATATCTACATATTTACCGAGTTTTCTGACATGGTGCTAAACTGACTAGATAAAACAAAATACAAACAATAACACTCTGAACTTGACTGAAGAATGCTATATGAAACAACCATACACAAACTAATAGCCCATCCAATTTTGGTTGTTTCTGGGGATACTGTCTAAAACATCACCTATATGAAGATCCATACAATTTATTGAGACCTAATGTAGAGAACCAAAGAACGGGTACTCATAACAAATGCAAAACACTTAATTCAATTGGTTTTTTGGCTGCTGGTATTGATCAGTTATTCTTACTATGTATTCCTTGAGCTCTGCTCATTTATACTTTCCTATTTCATTTTCAGGATCCTTATAAACCTCCTCAAATGCACTAAAAAACAAAGTGGGGAACAAACAACTCACCTGGGATTTGTTCATTTTCTGCAGTTTGGGGGCAAAGGCAGGGAACTATGAAGGCAGAACTGGAATAGAGGGAAAAGGAAGCCAATGTTAATAAAGGTCTGACCTGCCTCACAATTCTGAGAATGACTTACTTAGAAATCCCTACATGCCAACTAGGAAAATACCATCCTCGGGATAGTCCCTTTGCCTCTTCAGTAGCACCTACCGCCAATCAAATGTTATGACATATTCAAAAGGGCAAAACTGTGACAACAAACTACCAAGAGACAAAGCAATCACCAGAACCCTCAACTGCTAAAGCAAACAGAGAATTCAAAGCAACTATGATTCCTATACTAAAGGCTTTAATGGAAAAGGTACACAGCATGAATGAATAAACAGAGAATTTCAGCAAAGATGAACATAGCAAGAAAAATTCATGGCTGGGTGTTGAGGCTCATGCCGGCAATCCCAGCATTCTGGGAAGCCAAGGTGGGAGGAATGCTTGAGCCCAGAAGTTGGAGACCAGCCTGGGAAACATAGCAAGTCACCATTTTGATGAAAAAAATTGTTTTTCAATTAAAAAAAAAGAGAAAAAATCACATGGAAATGATACAGAAAAAAAAGTACAGTAACAGAGATGAAACATTACCTTCAACAAGCTCATTAGTAGACTCAACAGAGCTAAGAAAAGTTTCAATAAATCTGAAGATATATCAAAGGAAATTACCCAAACTGAAATAAAGAGCATAATGAAAGGAAAAAATAATTTTAAAAAAGCATCTAGGCCGGGCTCAGTGGCTCAGCCTGTAATCCTGCGCTTTGAGAGGCCGAGGTGAGTGGATTGCCTGAGCCGGCGGGGTCGAGACCCGCCTGGGCAACTTGG